CATAATTCTGTGAAAGTCTACACTACCTAAACTAATCCTAACCATGCAAACCCTGCCATACTGAAGAAGAAGACTGAAATATGTCATGCTCACCCTCTTCTCAGAATAAGTAAACTGGTAGAGATTTCAAGGAAATGAAAATCTACAACCTAACCTAACATAAACTAACCTAACCCAGCCCTTACAAAAGTATACGTAATACCTTGTCTCACTACTTGCACACCCCTGTGTTTCCTTAGCATAAGTTTAGCAGCACACTTAATCTTAACCTGTACTCTAACCCTAACCAGAGCCCTAAGGTCTACACCAAAACTAACCAGGGTTAAAATAAAAAATAAAATAAAATAAAATAAAAAATAAAATAAAATAAAATACAATAAAAAATAAAATAAATGTAAATTGTTTGAAAAAAAATATTTTCAAAGAAAAAAAATGAAGCATAAAAAACTTAAAAACTTTAAAAAAATGTAACTAAAATTAAAATTAATAACAAAAATCTCAGTGATAATAACTTGTGATACATAAAAAACACTGAAACTAACCTGGGACTATTACTGTAACTTAAAACATTTTGGCCAACATACATAAGTGGGGTGTGAAAGATGTGTGCCTCCACAACTGTAAATTAAATATGAGCACACGGATATACCATCTCAGCACTGCACACGACTATTTTATGAGTAGGACTGCATCCTATAGGTTAGGTGGTTTGCCATGTGAGTGCGGAAAATGTCTCAGGTTACTTATGTAACCATGGTTCCCTGAGTAGGGAACGAGACACTGCGTCCTCTAGGGGTCGCTATGGGGAACGCCTCGTCGTGACCCGTGTCTGAAGCATACATTGAAAAAACACCAACTCGTTGGCCGGCGACAGCCATGACGTGCGTTACCTGTACAACCCTTCCCTCGAACACACCCTGCCTTAGCCAGCCAGACGCTCCCAATCTCTCTCACTGATTTCACCATGAGTCATATATCATTGTGCACAGGTGACAAGCGTGTGCATGCAGCGTCTACAGATACAGACATGTGACTGTTTACCATCCAAACTCAAGGGAGTTTCCTGCACGACTGGTTTTCTGTACTCTCTATACTCATTCTCCATCCAAGAATACCAGCAGATAAAATTAACACACACACACACCACAAAAATATCCAAACATTCATAAAAGAAGATAAAAACTGTATAAGGATTAAGCTTTTCAGAGAATATATCTTGAATTAAATTGATTCTCTTATCCTATTAGCAAAGTGCTGTTTTAAGTTTAAACCTCACTAAATTTAGTGTAAAACAGTACCAGTAACAAAAAATAAAAATAAGATGTATTTTCTTAAAATAAGTCTTGTTATCTTATACATTAGTAAATGTGTCTTGTTTTAAGAACTTGCTGTTTTTTACTGAAAAAAAAAACTTATTTTCTTTTGATGTTTTAAATTAAAAAAAAATATATTGGAGCACATTTTATAAGAAATATATTTTAAAAATAACTTTAAAATTTCATATTTAAATATGATTTAATATTTAAATACAGTTTGTTTTGCTGTTTCTGTTGTAATTATGCAATTTACAAGTAATTTCTGAGAAATATTATTTCTTTTTTATTATTTAACAATGCCAGTAAGAAAAATGAAAATAATTCTAAATGTATTTTCTTTAAAAAGTCTCAGTATCTTACATAATTTTGCTTCTCAAGTAAATGTATCTTGTTTTAAGAATCTTAAGATTTATTTATTGAAAAGCAAATAAAACATTTAATATTTTATTTTACTTTATTACACTGTAAATTAATTTTTTTAAGTTAAATAAAGGATTATTGTAGTACATCTTATGACAAAATACTATGGTAACACTTTACAATAAGGTTCCATTAGTTAATGTTAGTTAATGTATTAACTAACATGAACGAACAACGAACAATATATTTATTACAAAATTTATTAATCTTTGTTAATGTTAGTCAATGAAAATACAGTCGTTCATTGTTAGTTCATGGTAATTCACAGTGCATTAACTAATGTTAACAAGCACAACTTTTGATGTTAATAATGCATTAATAAAGGTTGAAATTAACATGAGCTAAGATTAAGAAATGCTGTAGAAGTATTGTTCATTCTTAGTTCATGTTAAAAGTTGGGTTGAAATAACCCAGCATTTTTTAGAGTGTAAGATTAATAAATGCTGTAGAAGTATTGTTCATTCTTAGTTCATGTTAACTAAAGTAGTTAACTAATGTTAACTAATGAACCTTATTGTAAAGTGTTACCAATACTATTTCAGTCTTGCTACTTTAAAATGTAACATTTAATTCATGCTGTTCCTTACTGTTTCTATGTAATAAATTGCGAAATTTACTAGGAACTTCTGAGTGAAATTGTATTTCTTTTTGTTATTTAACAATGCCAGTAAGAAAATTTTAAATAATTTGAGATATATTTTCTTTAAAAATCCTCAGTATCTTACGTAATTTTGCTTCTCACATAAATTTATCTTGTTTTAAGAATTTTAAGATTTATTTATTGAAAAGCAAATAAAACATTTTATTTTATTTTATTACACTGTAATTATTTTCAAAGATTATTGTAGTACATTTTAATGCGAAAATACTATTTCAGTCTTGCTTAAAAATGTAACATTTAATTCATGGTGTTCCTTGCTGTTTCTATGTAATTAATTGTGAAATTTACTTCTGAGTGAAATTTTATTTCTTTTTTTCAGTGTACAAAATCCACTATATATCTAATCAAAATCGAGTCTATTTCTGTTTGCGCATGAATGTTTCTAGAGAATGTTTGACCTGCAGTAAACATTGTGGAATCTCTCTTTATTTCTCCTCTCGTTCAGTGTCTTTGTTCAGCAGTTGTGTCTGAGAAACAGATTTATGGCGGCTCAGACAGTGCTACTGAGAGCCTCTCTAAAGGGCCTCTGAAACACCCTTTGAATTTTCTTAGCTCTCATATTCTATTTCCAATCTGAGAGACCCCAAGGCCTTATTAACATCTAGAAAAGCATATTTAATGCTGAAGTATTGTGCTCATTCTTAATGACACGATGATTTGGATTTATTTGATTGTATTTTTCAAATTGAGACAAGTCAGCAAAGTGAACAATTAAGTACGAGAAACTGAGTTGGGAGTGAGTAAGTGAAAGAGACAGATCGACAGAATAAACAGCTAAAGTTGTCTCGCCCAATCTCGTTTTTTTCCCCATTCTTTTCTTACACCTCCTTTAAAGCAAGCAGCCATTCCATGACTTCACCTTCCCTCAAAACGCTCTCTCCTTTCCACTGAAGTTGCGTCACAGAGTACACCGGGATATGTTTGGGAGTCTTATCGCAGCCAAATAAGTGTGTACATGAAACTCACATGCAAAACTATTGATCAAAGCTAGTTCCAGAAATAATTTAGCATACAATCACACGTCCATTACAAATAAAAGTCAATAGAAAACTATTTGCTGATTAGTTGTTTAGTTGGGCAGACCCTCAGACACGTTTCGGTTAAGCTGTTTTGAGTATGACCAACTTTTAATAAGCACATGTTAAGGTGTGAGCTTCAGAGGAATCAATTTATACTAAGTGTGATTCATGTTAATTCTAAAGAAGAGCACCTCAAAGAGCATTGCTTCTGATCTGCTAATGAAGTTCATCTCTAGGCCAGCACAATAGCTTTTAGCAAAACTACACGATTGCTCTGAGGTTTTTGTGTGATTTAAAAATTAATGATCTCAGAATAATTTTAGGATGTATTATTTCCATTAAACAAGCATAAAACTGGTGGTGTCAAAACATCCATGTGAGAGCATACAACATCACACTGTCAATGAGCAATAGAAGCATGCATATTTACAAAAGCATATACCTTTTGTGTCACTTATGTGACTTTAATAGTGATACTATGTGTTTTTAAAGGTATTTTAGCATGTCAACAACAACAAAAAAATCATTCCTTCTCAGTATTATGTTTGCCCATCTTTCCCCATGAGGACACATTTTTGGCCTTTTGACCCAGACCTGTGTTTCCAACTTCTTGATTAGCAAATATGTGTATGTATACTGTGTGTTTATACAATTATTTAGGGTTTTATACATGCATACATAAACACATTAAAACCTTTATTAAAATTATGCAGAAACCCATAGATAAAAAACAAATATGTTTTGAACTTTTCGAAACAAGTGCATATTTCCTCTTCTATCACTTGATTTTATATTTTATTTATTGTTTATTATGCATGTCTGTCAGTATAAGAAACAGTTAAAGCACTGCAATTTACCATTTGATTATTGAAAACTTGATATTTATAGAAATATCAGCATTAGATTCACCTTCTACTGAAAACATTACTGTGAAATCCTGAAATATAAAACTGTCAACCCTTTCACCTGTCACCTTTTAAAGCATAGCTATAGCCCAAGTTCCATCATATTAAAATGTATTAATTTAGCTCAAGATGACACAATGCAATTTATTAACACTTGGAGACATTCTTTATCTTACATAATATTCAAAATGTTACAGATAACTAATTTAAATATTTATTTTTAATTTTATATTGATTAACTTTAATAATATAATATATTAATATAATAATAATAATTCTTATTATTTATTTATTTTTTTAATGATCCAAGTTTTGTTACTCATAGAACACCACATAAAGGGTTAAGAATGGGTCTTGTGGATATATGTTAATACTACTGGGTGAGAACACTTGCCACCCCTTATGATACATGAAATGTAATTGGGAAAATTATATATTCCCCAACCCTTTCTCTCTTTCACTCTCTCTATCTCATACACACGCTCTCGCACTTACACTCTCTCTCTCTCTCTCTCTCTCTCTCTCTCTCTCTCTCTCTCTCTCTCTCTCTCTCTCTCTCTCTCTCTCTCTCTCTCTCTCTCTCTCTCTCTCTCTCTCTCTCTCTCTCTCTCTCTCTCTCTCTCTCTCTCTCTCTCTCTCTCTCTCTCTCTCTCTCTCTCACACACACACACACACATCTTTGTGACGTTAGGCCCTCCTTTTAACCCGCAAGGTGAGGGTGTGGGAGAAACAATGAATAAGGAGTTAATGTAAAGCGCTCCGGATCGATCTCATTCGCATTATCGCGCATCAAACAGCATCGGGACGCACTTCTCCCGCAGCGGGATCTATTAAACTTTCTATAAGCAGCTGGTGACAGCAGCGGATCTCAGCTGATCAGGAAATAAATACCGTGTGTTCCTCCGGCCATGGCCCGGCGTATCTCGCCTGCTGTCGCTTTTCTCTTTTGTTTTGGACTATCGGTAAGTTTGTCGTGTTTTTAAATATATCAGTCAATAGATATCCACGTTAACATAGCCTACTCCATTTTAGTCTTTCTTCTGTATGACAAAGTATCGTTTTGTAAACCGAAACAATCGTTATGTCTCTCATAAAACTGAAACTGCTTTTGTTTGCTTGTTTGACAGCCTGTTTGTTTATAGCACTGTCGATGTGTAAAGCAACCACATTTATGTTTATAAAGTTAGTGTGAAAAAAGCCTTGTATTGTCTTTAACTCTTAAAATGCCGGAGGCCAATCGCCTCAATTGTCCAACCCTTTACAGGAATTTACAATTGCAACTAAATGTAGAAAAAAAAAGAAAGAAAAAGAAGAGACATGGTAAAAATGTTACATGACATGTTACATTTCTATCTATCAAATGGTGCATCTATCTATCTATCTATCTATCTATTGTTTACAGTGTAGCCTGTAGGCTATAAGTTATTTATAAGTTATTATACATAATATTAAATATACAGTATTATAATATGTTTGTTTATAGCACTGTCGATGTATAAAGCAACCACATTTATGTTTATAAAGTTAGTGTGAAAAAAGCCTTGTATTGTCTTTAACTCTTAAAATGCCGGAGGGCAATCGCCACAATTGTCCAACCCTTTACAGGAATTTACAATGGCAACTAAATGTAGAAAAAAAAGAAAGAAAAAGAAGAGACATGGTAAAAATGTTACATGACATGCAATTGTCCAACCCTTTACAGGAATTTACAATGGCAACTAAATGTAGAAAAAAAAAGAAAGAAAAAGAAGAGACATGGTAAAAATGTTACATGACATGTTACATTTCTATCTATCAAATGGTGCATCTATCTATCTATCTATCTATCTATTGTTTACAGTGTAGCCTGTAGGCTATAAGTTATTTATAAGTTATTATACATAATATTAAATATACAGTATTATAATAGGCTATTATATTATTGTTAATGATATTGTCAATCAGGAGATAAATATTAATAATATATTAAAGTTTTTTTTTGTTTTGTTTTTTTTACATTGGTCTGGAGATCCCTAGCTATCTTATTATGGTGTTATCATCGTAATTGTAGTATTTTGTTGGGAACTTCCACTGTTTACCATGGTGTATTTTCGTAAAGGTTATTTCAGAACAGGCTCTGTCTAGAATACAGACAGACAAACTACAGCAGTCAAGCTGGATCTGCAAGTGTTGTGTGAGAAAGTATAGCCTATTCTATTCAATTTCAGGTGTGTTGAAATCCCCGCCCCCTGCCACCTCAATGATTGACATTTCTCAATAATAATTCTTCAAATTCTAATGAAGATGAGTCACTGAGCAACAGTCGATTAAAATGGTTACTAAATGATTGTGATCTACTAAATGAGTGAAAATCACTTTACCTGGAATAGTTTACACTGGAGAATCTCAGTGAAGGAGTATTTTACTGCTTTTATCAGTATGTGCTGGGTAGATGTGCCAATAGCTCACAGTCTTGGTTGTTTTGGCTTACGGTTTTAATATTTTTGCATACATTATACCCATACATGTTTCATACACAGAGTGTGTATGAGAAAGTGAATCACACATTTTATCACTGTTTTTAATACATACTATTTCCACTTCACAAATGTAAAGGTTCTACTTATTTATACGACGATCATTGGGCCTTCAGTTTACGTAAAACAACCTAATGCATGTATCAAACCTTATGTAATTACTACACAAAATGTGAAATCTCCATGTATCTCTATAAACACTTGTAAAAGTACTGTGCAAAGTTTCTGTAGTTACAATTCAGAAATGCACAGTAGAAGAAAGTAAAGAAGCCACTTTACTAAGACATATTTGTGATAGTGCAAGGTTTTCTTTCTTTTCTCGACTCCTGTATAGGGATTTGTTCTGTGGTTGCAAATCTTTTCAGGTTTCACTTTCATCTAATTTCATATAAATTACAGCATCTGTTTAATTTTGTCTGTGTACAGACGGGATGAGCTTAGTGTCAAACTATGCTTGCGTGCAAGTTGCAACTGCAGTTTCGATCATTTATAATGACTCACCAGTGAATCATTTACAAATCCTGCTAATGAGAACGTTCTCACCAGGCAGGGCAGCAAATATAAAAACAAATATTTCTTGGTCTCCTTTTTCTGCTGTGTGAGAAGGTTGGCAGGATAAGTCTGTCTTCACAAATTGTTGATGTGCATTTCTGTTTTCCCACAGCATGTGTTTGAGGTTGAAGCCAGATTCCAGCACTCTGTGGCCCTCCACAGGCAGAAGAGAGAATGGATCGTCCCTCCCCAAATCTTAGAGGAGAATGTGGATTACACCAAGAGAGAGTTCATTGCAAAAGTGAGTGAGACTTTTCCTGCGTCAAACACATTGATATGCAAACATCAACCTTAATGCACAATCAAAGTGTAAAAAAGAAAAGGCATCATCTTTTTCACCAGGGAGTTAAAAAGGGAACAATAAAATCTCATGTAATTGCAATTTATAGTACAACTATAGGAATAGGCCTAGTTCACCCAAAAGTGAAAATTTACTTTAGATTTACTCACCCCTAGGCCATCCAAGATGAGTTTGTTTCTTTATCAGAACAGATTTGCAGGCAATTTAGCTTTAAGTCACTTGCTCGTCAATAGATCTTCTGCAGTGAATGGGTGCCGTCAGAATGAGAGTCCAAACAGCTGATAACATCAAAATTATCCACAAGTAATCAACATGACTTTACTTGTGGCTTATTAATGGCTTGTGAAGCGAAAAGCTGTTTTTGTAATAAACAAATTTATCACAATGTTTTTAAACTTCAAGTCATCTCCATAATATTGCTTTCTCCATTAAAAAGTGGTCTCATCTGAATCAGGAGATAAATATGCACAGATCGAAACAGTTCTAATCAAATATATTGGTGGATTGATGTGAGAGGATAAGAGGGGATGGACTTTTCATTGAAGGAAACTGTCAGGGTGGTAAAGAAAGAGGAATCACTTGCAGGGATAACATATTTATTGAGTTTCAAACACAAAACAGGAACTCAGGAACTAAGCCATTGTCTGAGAGGGTAACCAGGAGAGATTCCAGCCAGGTCCGTGGAAGTGAATATCAGCTCAGCAGGAGGCGTCTAGGAAAGGGGTTTCAGAGCAAATGGCAGAGAGCAACAGTTCAAGAGCAACGAGACAGACAAGCTCTCCAGTGAGCACCAGGGCACAGGGAATGGCAACGGTGGGAGAGAGAGGGAGAGTGAAGGCAGAAGCCTGGCTGACTTAACTGGAATCTTCTGAGGCTGGTGGACAAGACTGATATTAGCAGAGCAGCTGGATGGATGGAACAGGAAGGGCAGGGAAGCAGGTTGAGCAGGGCAGCAAGGGATGGGAGGGAGGTGGCAGGCAGTAGGGAGTCCAGCAGCCAGAGCCGGTGGGGGAGCAGGGGAGCAAAAGGGGGAAGGGGAAAAACAAAAACGAAAACAAAACTAAACTAAACTAAAAGGCAGGAGCTTAGAAAACGAGGAACTAGATAGCACAGAACTAAAGCAAAAAGGAAAAACCCTAATATCAAAAAGTATAAAATAAATGCAAAGGAGACTAGACTAGACTAGACTAGACTAGTGATGTTCGGTTCTTGAACGAATCGTTCTTTTGAGCCGGTTCTCAGGAAGTAACCGGTCGAACCGGTTCACAAATCGAACTGAATCGAACTTTAGTTCCGGGTTGATGACGCAGGACACACAGCCAAAGTAGCACGTCCAACTCAAAAAGAACCGATTGAGCCGGTTCAACCAACTGTCGAAGTTTGCCGAGGATTACCGAGGACTCAACAAGAACCGAATGAGCCGTGGCGAAGTTT